ATTGGTTTTTTGTTCCCAATAGAGAATGCCAAGGAGTTTTCTCATGCATTTGTTCTTAAACGCTTGGATCCTTTTCTCTGTCTTTGCCAAATGTGTCCCCGTTTCACATCCATATAAGAGAATGGAGACTACCAGCGATTTGTACAGTCTTTGAAAGTTGATTTTGCTCCTCCATATTCTTGTCAATTTGGCCATCGCTGCCATGGCTGCGGTAATCCGTTTGCGGATTTCCGAGTTGCAGATACCATCTTTAGACAAGATTGCTCCTAAGTATTTAAAAATGGACACTTCCTCCAGGGAATTCCCATTCCTGGTAAACTTGACACAGATGTTCCTGTTTGTGCTATTCACCATTACTTTGGATTTCTCGGAGCTGATCTTCATTCCATATGCTCCTGCTCTTTCAAAGGGTTTGTTGGTCAAGTCCTGGAGCTCATTGTTACTACCTGCTATGAGGTTAATGTCATCTGCAAAACGTAATATACAGACCTGTCTGCCACTGATAGAGATTGAAGGATCACGCTCGGTCAAGGTTTCTTACATGATTCTCTCTAGAAATAAGTTGAACAATGTGGGTGAAAGTATGCATCCCTGTCTCATGCCGACAGTGGTCTGGAAGAATCTTCCCATTTGTTTTGCCAGAAGAACTGCACTAGTAGCATCTTTATATAGGGCCTGGATGACTTGGATAATCCTGTTGTCTACATTGAATTCTATAAGGATTTGCCTAAGACCGTCATTTCATACATCGTCAAATGCTTTCTTGAAACCAATAAAGTTGTGGAAGATGTCCTACTGATGTTACAGGTAATTATATACGAGGATCTGACAATTGGAGACCTTATTATTCTACTCCGACCTGTTCTAAGACCTGCTCGTTCTTCTGATAGCAGTTCTTCACCCTTGGATTTCAAACGATTCAAAATGAAACAGAGCAGGAGTTTACTTGGATGACTGATCAGGTCTTATAATTTCGACACTGACTGAGGCTTCCTTTCTTTGTCAGGGGTATTACTAATGACTGGGTCCACTCTTCAGGACACTTTTTTGTTCCAAATCTTCTAGCATAATGTTGTTATGAATTTGATGGTTTCTTTCCCTCCGTGTTTTATCAGGTCAGAGGGAATATTATCCACTACGGGTGACTTGCCAGGTTCCGAGCTCTTTATTGCCAAATCATCCTCTTCGTTCAGTATTGATGGGCTGGTCTCGTCTTCTTCTGTGGAGTGCTGGTAACTTTTTAATATGGAAACATCTGGATAAATTTGGCATTTGTATAAACCATCACAGAATTGCATCCATCCATGGAGCTCTTCACTGGCGGTCAACAATTTAGCATTCTCATCCTCTACGACCGTCACCGTCTGTTGGCTGGTCTTAGCGAGGAATTTGAGAGTTTTGTAGACCTCTTTGCTATTACCAGTAAGTATATCCTTCTCAATGGTTTTCGCTTATTTTGTATTCACTCCACTCCAGCTGCTCGTATTTTTCTCCTCACATTACTGTAAATTTATTTAATTAAATCGCCATTGGCCTCAACCCCTGCCTCCAGACGGCTTCGGAATCTCTTCTGGACAGTGTCGTTGTTTAAGTTGGTGAGTGCTGCCATAATCCTTACATTCAGTTCATCTTTAGTGTTACATGAAGAATTGTTGGTCTCTCACTCAACTGCTTTCAACACATAATAATGAAGGGCATTGCAATCTGGGGATTTAGGTTGCCAGATATAAGAGGTGATGTGGTTGCAGAAATTTACTAACAGTCATTACTAGAATCTCCTGCTTGTGTATCATGGTGCAGAGCTCTCTTGCCAGACATAGGGTCTTCCAGCAGCCACCCACTTGACCCAGGTGGAAACTATCTCTTCAAGGTACGATCTAAGCCTCTATGTTGAGTCTGAAGCCCTGTGGGAAGATGAATGGAAGCAGAGAGAGAGAGAGAGAGAGAGAGAGAGAGACGTGGCCTGACAATTGCCTCTAGAATGAAACAGCCTGTTGTCACCGAGTGTTGACTTCAATGTTCAATTTTATATTTATTTTTAGATACGCTCTATCTCTGATATTGAGCACTTTATCCCATAAGTATAGCACACCTTCAAACTATATTTCTTCATATATATATATATATATATATATATATATATATATATATATATATAAGCTTCATTACATATGACAAAGTAATGGTGAATAGCACAAACAGGAAAATCTGTGTCAAGTTTACCAGGAATGGGAATTCACTGGAGGAAGTGTCCATTTTTAAATACTTAGGAACAATCTTGTCTAAAGATGGTACCTGCAAGCTTTGATTATTTTTTTTTATATAATTTCTTATATGATCTTATAATTTGTTTTCTTTTCCGTAGATAAATTATGCAAAAACTGTCTAAATGCTATATTTTTGCGATCGCTTTCGGCTATACATTTAGCCATTTAGAAGGATGGAATATATTTATTGTTAATAAAAAATGGATTGTTGTATACATGTATTTTGCATTATAGAATGTTTTCATTTACAAAACGCAGTCAACATATTTTGTTCGTGTTCATATTTGATATTATTGAGTCTTTTTTTTTGTTTTTATTGATAAGATTTCCATTATTTTTATCCTTTTTTTTTACATGTAGACGATGATATTATATTTGTATTATCAACAAGTATGTTGTGAAAAGGAATTCATCGGTGCATTTAATGCTATAATTAGTTGGAAGATATGGGGTAATAATATCATTGAGAAATTATCATACTTGGTCTATGCATGTTGCGAGAAGAATTTATAAAGTAAATAATGTTAGTTATTCAAAATTGTTCATAAATATTCCTCAGGTCAACTTAAAGTCTCAGTAAATAATTGTTAATAAACAAAAAAAATGATGCTGAATTTTTTTTATGGATTTAAATTTTAATTTATTTTAGTAATTATGTACTATTTATTTTAAATATTAAAAATATTAATATTATTAATTTCACCATTTTCTTTCGAATTTTTCACATTTTTATAGTCATACATGCTGGCTTGGGAAAGTAGTAATTCTTCCAGGAATGAAGATAATTGAAAAAATCCGGAACGTAAATTTATATTTTGATAAGATTCCATAGCAGCACTCTGGAGAATTTCCGTCTAAATAAGTTACTTTCTCTTTCAAGAAGCGTAGAATCCTTTCGATCTAAGTTGTTGTATCGTTTAGATCAAAGTTCTGGTTGAATTTATTTCTATGTATAACTAATGCATTTGATAAATTATTGTGTATGAGATCCTTTTTGAGTTCATATAGATACTGTTTTTTTTCCCAATGTATTCTAAGGAGCAGTTCTGGCTTTTTATTTTATATATATATATATATATATATATATATATATATATACACTTCCAAATTATTATTGTTATGGATATTTTTGGTTCTGATTATATCCATTATTGTTTTGGATGCCGTTTGGACAAATTGTTTTTTTTAATAATAGATGCTAAGAACTTAGTAGAAAATATCTATGAACACAGACATGATATTATATGTATTCTATACTTATGCGCCTAAGGATTTTAAAAAATAGTCTCCTTATCCTCAGCCGCGTCTAAGCATTTTCCTTAATCATTAATCTCTTAATTTGGGAATTAATATCTCGCCATTTTCATCGGTGATTTTTAACTTTGAGAAAAGCCAGATTCTGCAATTGGTCATAATCTCGACTTTGCGAGAGATTGACAGACCTGGTTGGTCTTTACGTAATATAAAGATGGCGACACAGCTTCTGCAGTTATTAGAAAAGGCTGGATACTTTTCATACAGACTTCGTATATCGAGTGAATCAATTAAAATATCTATCTAATAGAAAGATAAGCATGTCCGTTTGATAGCTGTCATATGTAAATATTTCGCGCCGCTGGTATGTCTTCCAAACCTGACAAATCCCATCATAGAGTTTTTCTTTTAAGACAACCTTTTCGTCAACTCTCTTTCGTCTAGTTTCTCAATCTGTGCCGGACAATGCTAAACTTAGGAAATGTCTGCCAACAGAATCACACGGATGTCTGACATGTTGGTGTTTGAAATTGTATTTAAAATCTGATGATGAAGCGAACGAACAAAAAGTTGCGCCATAATTGATGAACTTGTTCGCACTAGATTCAGTGAATTGTGTCTCTCTGAGAATGTTGCGATCGGTCAATGGAAAGGCGAGTATCAATCATCGCTTGGCAGACGACATCAATAATGGATCGCCATCCATTTATAGATTTGTAGAATTTCGATTTGCAATCGCTCGGACATTGGTCAATTCTCGGCGGGAAGTGAGCAATATTTTGGCATCTGCTACAACGTGATAAAGTGGCTTGGCGTGGGTTATGGCGCTTAAATAGGGAAAGGAGAGGAAGAGATTGTGAATGGAGGGCGGGTGCGAGGATTCAATTGACTGAAGGCGAGATGAAGGAATGGAAGGGGAAGAAAAAGAAAACGAGTGTGGGATTCAAAAATAGAAGTAGTAATCAGGGAAAAAAAACTGTGAAAGGGGAAATAAAAGAAAAGAATGTAAAGAAGAGAGGGAAGAACGAAAGAAGGAATGAAAATAGAAGACGGAGGAAAACAGGATTATTGGGTTACAATAATGGGAAAAGGGGGAAAAGAAAGAAAAATGCATTAGGAGATATAAAGAGAGGGGGAATAAAACGAACGCTCGGAGAGAAAGAGAAAGAGGAATAAGACAAGAAAAAAAGAAAAGAATAGTAAAATATATAAAGTCATTAAAGGCAATGGAGAAATAAGAGAAAAAGAAAGAAAGAAAGGTAAGCAAAGCAAAAAGAAAGAAGAGAAATGTTCAGAAAAAGAAGAAAGAAAGAAATAGAAAGAAAGACAGAAATGTAAGTAGAGAAAGAGGAAAGAGTTAAGAAAGAAAGAATGAAAGAAAGAAAGAGACAAAGAAAGCACTGACAAACGAGTGGAAAGAAAGAAAGAAAAGAAAGAAAGAAAGAAAAGAAAACAGACAGAAAAGGGCTCAGAAAACACTTAAAAGAAAGAAATAAATAAAGAAAGAAATATAAAGAAAGAAGGAAGGAAAGAAAAACAAAAAAGAAAGAAAAGAAATATAAACAAAGACATAAGAAAGAAAAAGGTTAAGAAAGCATGCAAAGAAAGAAAGAATGAATGAAAGAAAAGAAGTACAAGAAAGAAAGAAAGAAAAAAGAATGAAAGAAAGAATAAAAGAAAGAAATCAAAAGAAAGAATAAAAGAAAGAAAGAAAGAAAGAAAGAAATCAAAAGAAAGAAAGAAAGAAAGAATGAAAGAAAGAAAGAAAGAAAGAAAGAAAGAAATCAAAACAAAGAAAGAAAGAAAGAATAAAAAAAAATGAAAGAAAAGAATCAAAACAAAGAAAGTAGGCCACACTAAAATAAATAAAGATAGAAATATACACAAGAAAACTAAAGAGTAAAATATGAATAGAAAGAAAAAAAGCAAAGAGAATTCAATTTTACAACTAATATTCCATGGTCCTATTCTCTTAATAGAATTGCATCATGGCATAAACAATTGACGATCTCTTTCTTCCTGATTTTCAGTTCATATCCCTGATGAAAGAATTAGCAATAAATTCATATTATACATATGTTATAATTCAACATTTCTCAATAACATCTTGACTATAAACAAACACATTCTCTTTGATTTTCAACCCGTTCCTATAATAAAACCATTAGAAATATATTTCCATTCTACATCCGGAAGTGACATGTTGTCTCTAATTTTTATATTCATCTCTGACTACTGACAAATACGTTCTTCTTGATTTACAATGCATATTTCGAGAAAAATATTAACAATGCATTTTCATTTTGCAATTTATTGCTTCATTTTGTCAGCAATGCTTGCATTTATTTCTGATCGCTGAAAATATCTTTCTTCCTGTTTATCAATGCGTTTCTTGTCTTGAATTCTAAAGTTTGTCATATATGTTGATAATCATCTTAAATTGACTGAATTTTCTTGTCGTCGTCAATTTTGATTAGTTTTAATTCCAGCTTGATTTTCTGCTTTATGGCAAAGATCAAGTTTTTGTTTTATTTTTAGATTCCGCGTCATTGAACTATGCACAATGAATCGAAAATAAGAGACATCTTCGAAATTTAAACCTTTACTTCGTATTATTTTGGCCGATTTATTTATTCCAGGCCATATATAATATAATACAAAAGTGTAACATTACACCCTTGTGCAAATTAATTGAAACAACCGCTTTAGTTTCCTTTCTTTCACCATACGGTCAGTTTTAGACCCACTGGAGTGAAAGGGTGTAATCGATTTCTATTTTTTTCCTCAGATTAAGTCATTTCCAGTGATGGGCAATAATAAGAATCTTTTTTCGGGATATATGATGAAATTTGCTTGGTCTTGAAAAATATTGTCATCCGTTATTGCATCAGATTTTTATCACGCCCAGGCACTATTGTCTCAATTGTCGATTATTTGTCCTACGGCCATTGTCTGCGATGGACGTTACTCCAAGGAAACATACGAAAATTGAAACGCTGCACAAACACACTTCCAAGCCTTACCAGTGACCAAATCAAAGTACCATCGACTGGCCCGAAAACTCTCCTGATTTAAATCCAATCGAGAATCTGTGGTCAATCTGCAAAGAACGACTTCGTGGAATGGACATACGAAGTACTAATATGTGCACTGGGTCTTTTTTTCATTGGAAAAATACGAAAAAAAGATTTAAAAATAACGGAATTATTCGTTTTATTTCAATTAATTTATGTTAGTAAGCACTGGTAAAAAAATACGAGATTAAATCTTTAATACGTAAAACTATTGTTTATTTCCTCCTTATTTCTGCTTTTTATTAGCACGGCTGATGCTAACCGCCACGAGAGCAACACATTGTGCCTTTTTGATCTGGATATGAAGTGGATTGATTAAATTGAATCAAATACCGGGTCTACTGCTAAGAGATTTGGTTCACGATGCCGTGGTAGACAATTTTTCTCGCCACAATTCATCTTACACATTTATAAATCTACCATTGGTACACGCATTGAATATTACGGTCATATCTGGTCTGGACCCCTTGTAATAACTCTTGTAATATAGACTGACCGAAACGTTAGAAGGGATAACGAGAATACGGGATAAACATTCAAGGCACGTCGTATTTTTTTTTACTTTTTATTTCTGATATATTATTAAAAATAAATAAAATGAAATACGGCGATCATAACGATCCAAAAAATAAAATAAATAAAACATTAGTGAAAACTAGTAAATGCAGATAGATAGATAGATAGATAGATAGATAGATAGATATGAATAGACTATGATAGATAGATAGATAAATAGATAGATAGATAGATAGATAGATAGATAGATAGATATGAATAGACTGAAATAGATAGATAGATAGATAGATAGATAGATAGATAGATAGATAGATGAATGAAAACGAAACTGCTATCTTTTAATTCCCGCAGAGAATCTTTTTCTGCTTTTCATCACTATGGCTGACGCTAACCTCCAGGAGAGCAACTCAATGTGCTTTTATGATCTGAACATGAAGTGAAATGATTAAATTGAATTAATTGCTGGGTCTAAGAGATTTAGTTCACGGTGTCGTGTCAGACAATTTTTCCCGCCAAAAGTGCCAATCTCCTACACATCTCAATAGCCATAGATACAGAGTAAAAGAACAATAAATATCTCATGTATGTCGGATGTAATTTCAGCCAGCAGCGCAATTCAATTTCAGCTCATATTACACTGTGTATCAGCGTAATGAGATGCCTATTCGATTGCAGCATCTATCGATTAGGCACGGCGTTGATAGGCTTGTGTAGCTTACTGAATCTCTTCCTGCTATTCAATTGATTATTGCATTCTATCGATTTATCGGTGATCATTAGAGGCTATTTACGACGGTGAGGCCTCGCTGAGGAAACAATCAGTGCCTGAATTTAGAATCAAATTTGAAAATGATACAAACGCAAATCATTTTTGGAAAGAAATTAAGTCCGCTAATATCGTTTGCACGTAAAACGATTTATGCATTTAGAGTTACAACCACGAGAAATGCCCAACAGGGCTTGAGATTTGCAGTTATAAACAGATTAGGAACGGGATTCACTTGTAATATATTGTCTGCTACATCTATCTGTCTATTTATCTATCTGTTGTAACCTAGGGAAGGTTACTGAATAGAATAATCAAACGAAGGTTGGTAATGAACGATAATACTTAGGACAAGAACAACACATATAAGATTCGCCAGTAGCGCGTAGAAGAAGTAGTCAGCTGCAAGAAGTGAGTCAAGTGAATTCCACAATCAATCTCCCGCTGCAGGATATCTACCACGCGGTCAGATGTGGAACAAGGCCGAATTTAATTTGGGGTATCTGAGCCCGTAGGGTCGGCCAAAAATTGCCCGAAGACCCCGTATAAAACGGGGTCGGGTAGCTGTTCCCCGAGACGAGACTCTGCCCTTCGACATAGTCACGCTTGGGAATCCTCTCTGACCGGGGGCAGAGAGTTTGACCAGCACAGCTAGAGACGAATCTCCAACTGCAGACCAACATACAGTATTTACTACTTATTTATGGGAATAGGCGACATACCCATTGTCATCAGTAGGTATGCTACAACACTATCTATCTGTTGTGTCTCTTTAAAGCGAGAATATCATGGCTCTCCACAACTTCCTCTCAACAGTATTCTTTCTTCATGTTTTCTCTTTCTTTAGGTATTTTCCCAACATTTATTCGCTCAGCCTTGTCAAGTACGTTCTCTCTCTCTCTCTCTCTCTCTTGATGCCATGCAACATTAGTAAGTAGATGATATAGCTCTCCACAGCTTCCTCTCATTCTTACTCGCTGCAATGTTCTTTCACTTTGTTTTTGTAGTTGTTCATTAACTAATTTCTCAGTCGTGTCCAGTATGTTCTTTCCCTCTTTCATTAGATGTCATTTCAGAATGTGGACGATCATAGCCCTCCACAGTTTCCTATCTTTCTAACTGTAATATTCTTCCGTCATGTTTTTAATTTGTCTTCGTAATACTTGTAATTCCATTTATTTGCTCAATTGTATTAAATACATTTTCTTCCTCTTATTTAATGTCACGTGTCACCTCAGGATATGGACGATCATGTTTATCCACAGCTTCTTTTATTTCTTCCTCGCTTAAGTAACATTCCATCCATTTGCTCAATCATGTCAGGTAGGTTCTTTTTCAGTTTCTCTCTGTCTTTCGATGTCATCTCACATGGGCAATCGTGGCTCTCGACAGCGTCCTCTTTTGCTTATTTTAATTACGTCTCTTATTTGTGAGCTTTTATATACTTACTCCTACACCCATGTGTTTAAACTTGTCAAGTACGTTCTCTTTATCTGTTTATCTCTTAGGGTCTGGCATGTCACTTCAGAATTGTTATGGTCCGGGTCCTTGTACCACGGTGATGGTCCAAGGTAGAACCAATAAAGAAGAACTCGAATACGGATATGGAAAAACACAGATATATTACAAACAGGAATATATACAGAGAAGTAGAAAGTGTTAGTACGAATAATCAGGTTTAGTAGTAATTGTCTGAACGCGACTCGGACTGCCTCTGACTCGACTGACTGACTCCTGACGGACTTCACTCCAGACTTCAGACTGAACTCCCTGCTTCCTCTTGAGGCGCAGTATTTATTATGTATGGAACAGTCCATTATGTTATTATGGGTAAGGTCCCCTAACAAGAATGTTGATGATCATAACTCTCCACAGCTTCCTGTCTTTTTGTTGATCTCTTTTGTCTTTAGGATACTTGTTCCTCTATCCATTGGCTGAAACATGTCAAGCATCTTCTTTTTATCTCTTTCGATTTGTCAGATCATTTCAGAACGTTGGTGATCATGGTCCTCCATAGCGTTCTTTTTTTTTCTTACTTTCAGCAATAGGTGGGTTACTGTCTCACTCCGTTGTTTATATTTCGCATGTGGCCAGTTAGAGTTAAATCATCCAAACCTTTTCGTGACTTTTCGTGACTTTTGATTCTTTTAAATTCAGCACATAAGCGATGATCATTTTTTCAAAGGTTATGTTTTTTGTTGACTGTAAATTTCCTGACATTTGTGGGAAGAAAATGGAGTCCCATCCTTATGCCATTTTTCAGTTTAGATTTCTTCTTTACGGAATACAAATTTTTTTTGCTGGACCGGACAAAAGACGGTTGCAGGACTTTCTCAAATGTATTCATGAAAAAGTGAATCCGTTTGGAAATATCAGGTGCTGTAAACTTGGATGCGCCAGTGGTGTAATGGATAATGACTCTGAATTGTTATTCGCAGAGCCGAGTTCCAATTCCCGTTGGGTTCGTTATGTTCATTTACACGCAATTACATTTATAAAATTTGTGGAGTCAAGACTTCGTAAAAAAGTGAACCCGTTTTAAAATATCATTGGATGAACCAGTGGTATAACGGATAATGACTGTGAGTTTTTAATCACATATGTATTTAAACTTCTGTACTTGTTTGATTTTGACATTTCCATTTTGTTGTTCAAATCTTGGGATTTTTCTCTTTCTGGTAACCATGCATTCTCTCTCCTTCAATTGATGTTTTTAGAATATATCTTTTACTATTCCAATGAACCTTCACATTTCAGTGTTACATTGTCTAACCTCCATTAAAACACTTCCCTGGTATTTAAATTCCTGTATTTGTTTCATTTTGTCATCTCCATTTTGTTGTTCAAATTTTGGGATTTTTCTCTTTCTGACAACCACGAATTCTGTCTCCTTCAATAGCTGGATTAGCGAAAGATACATTCTAAAATGTATCTTTTGCTATTCCAATGAATCTTCAGATTTCAGTGTTTCCTTAAAACTTCCATATTAGTTACATGTTCACGACAGAGCAAGTTATGAGAATAAGTGCTCATCTTTCATGTATTTTTGTTAATTTAGCGTTGTTCTTGAATTTTGTCATTCCTACTGCAAAGACAATTTGATCCTCACTGGAGGATCGACGTTTGTACATTTGTTTCCAAGTAAGCTAAACTTTATATATACGTGCTTATAACAGCAGGAACACCATATAATATAACTGACGTTGTTCAGCGAGATAAATATTAAATTGATTTGGAAAATTAAATTATTAAAATAACAATGACGAATTACAATGTCAGTTTAAAATATGTGCGTACGCCACAAGGATATTATTTAAATAATTCATAACTTAATAGAATGGAAATATTATTTTATGATCATTTTTGGTACATTTTATTACGCTTGTTATGAGATTAAGGATTTTCATTATTATCATTTTATTACTCTTTTCATTCCATCTCATTATTGAATGAACGTTGAGGAAAAAACAACGAAAGAGATTTGAAAAACCTCATAGATAGATAGATAGATAGATAGATAGATAGATAGATAGATATAAACAAAGAAAGAATTGAATAGATAGATAGATAGATAGATAGATAGATAGATATGAATAAACTCATAAATGGATAGAAAGAAAGGTTTGAAAAGAATGATAGATAGTTAAAGAGAAAGAGGGAGGTAGCTAGAAAAATACTTGAAAAAACGCATAGATAGATAGATAGATAGATAGATAGATAGAAACAAAGAAACAAAGATTTGAATAGACTCATAGATAGATAGATAGATACATACATGCATACATACATATGAAAATCTTATAGATGGATAGAAAGAAAAGTTTGAAAGGAATGATAGATAGTTAAAGTGAAGGAGGGAGGTAGATAGAAAAATACTTGTAAACACACATAGATAGATAGATAGATAGATAGATAGATAGATAATAGATAGATAGAACGAAAGACTTGAAAGGACATATATAGTGAGAGAGAGTCCGAGAGATAGATAGATAGATAGATTAACGGACTCAGACAAATAGATCTGATCAGATAGATAGATAGATAGATAGATAGATAGATAGGTGAATGAATCAATTATCATAAACCTGATAAAATAAATGTATCTTTATCCACTCCCTGAATGCAAACTAATTCAGAATAATACAAATAATGTTGCGACTGACTCTTTCGAGCGAAATGATCATCTAACCTACGCATGAGTGCCTTTGCGCATGCGCTGCAACCTCATCTGAAGAAAATCTCTGCTCAAAAGAGCGCGGTTTATTCGAGACATTGTCTTCATGAACAAAGCAGCAGCAGCAGCACCCAGGAAAATCTGTACTCACCGGGATCTCCATCGCCGATGACGACAACTCAATGCGTTTTTTACTTAATCATACGTGTTTCGTCTTCATGTTTCGCGTTTTATAAATGTCGAAAGATCAAGCAAGGCTGCCGTTTTAAAAGCCTTTTTTTCCCCTCCCGCTGCTGAAGACGTCACGATCGTTTGAGCCGGAACATTTCTAAAGACGCGAATGAAGAATATGGGAAAAGCAAATCCATTACAAAAGGCATTTGATTATTTCATATTTTCGATTTAAAAAAAAAGAACAAAAAGAAGAATGAAAATTTCTCACTCGTTTGAATCTCGTTGTCTTTTTTAAGTACCTTTTAAAAAATGCACACACACACACACACACACACACACACACACACACACACACACACATATATATATATATATATATATATATATATATATATATATAAAACACTGTAGGATCGAATGAGGTGTACGTATATATATATATATATATATATATATATATATATATATAATATATAATGGCTAAAATATTTTCCTGTAACTATTACACTGAATGTTCATATATATATATATATATATATATATAAATCGAAAAACACTAAAGTGTGACACTGATCTTATTCCACACCCCGTCACCTGAACAATAATCGTTTTAAGTTGAACAAGTTAAAATCAATAAATGACTGTGTGAAATGTTTTATTAAATAGAAGAGCCAAGAGCCATCCATGGTAGAGTGATTCTGAATGAGCGGTGTGATATGATTGGAATCGAAGTAATTAAAAGGTGAATATTATGAGAATATGTAGGATATATAAAGATTGACCCTAGACTTGAAGTTTATAGTTTTCAGGAAAGCATCCACGTGGGAGGGTATTCCATATCATAGCTGTTCTTGGCAAGAAGAATTATGAGTTTAAAATCCTTCTTATGAATGGAATATGAAATGTATAGGGGTAACTCAACCCCGTCGACGCAGAAAGCTGCTCTTGGCCGCAAAGGTTTTAACTTATGCCACTACAGAATGTAGATCATCTGAAAACTATTCCATGAAAATAACGATAAAATAGCAAGTCATGAACGGTTGCCTCTGTAGAACAGAATGGACAATGCCGGGTAAACGATTTTGAACTCTGTAGAGGCTGGTTTGGTTTGGTTTGGTTTGGTTTGGTTTGTTTTACGGCATATCAACCTCAATGGGTCATTTAATGCCGACAACTTTTTTTTTCCTGGTAATATTTTTGTTTTGTCAAAAATCTATTCATGTTAATATTTTTTTCCTCAAAAACGTATAGCTGGTAATATTACTTTTCCAAAAATGTATAGCTAGTAATATTATTTTTCAAAAACGTATTGCTGGTATTATTTTTTTCTAAAACATATTGCTGGTAATATTTTTTTTTCTTCAAAAATTTTTTCTGGTAATAATTTTTTACAAAGAATTTCTGCTATTAAAACCTATTTTTACACTTTTCTGATGCCTTTTACCTCAGTTTCTGGGTTATCTATTCGCCCATAGCTGGGACCCTAACAGGTGCTACCACCCCGGGTCAGGGTGGACCTGGGAACATCAGCAATTAAGAGGAGATTCCACGCTCCTCAAAGCCTCCTGATCAAAGGCCTTACTGTTGGACGTAGTTTATCGTCTTACCCTGGACGCGGATGTAGTTTATCATCATATCCAGGACGCTCTGTCGAGGCTTGAAAGCAAGAAAGAACAGCTTCAGCTTTGTGTGCAATTTATAGTCCTTGCATACAAAAGCATACAAATAGGAATCATGTACTTATGGGAGCTGTATGATGAGCTGAGCATTTCCCCAGAATCTTTAGCGATTAATCCTATAAATAATTTCAATTTGAAGTCTTTAAGAAAGTGTTTAATCCACTTGAAGTGTCCGAGAAAGTTCCGAATAAATAAATGTTCCTGAAGCACTGACTTTCAAACACACACAGACGCAATTCTCTTTCTTCATATATTAGTTCATTAGAAGCAAATACCTTCGCCATTTTTGTCTTTCGTTTCGACATCTCCACTACCCGGCCTTCTTTTTATTTGATTTTCTATGAGTTTTTGCTTACTATCATATATTCTTTGTTTGAGGGCATGTTCTTCGTTTACAATTGCCTCAACGTTTTCGACAATTCAAGAACGTATCAATAAGTTCATATCCTGAGACCGATTTTAATTGTAACGCTGCTGTTATTTAAACAAAACCCTCTATCTGGTTGTGTATTTTTTTTCTTCCAGGTATGCTTTTATACATGGTCAAATAAATAGTGATAATTTGATTAAAGTATTGGCGAAAAATCTATAAAACAGTCCATAAATTTCTTCATATGACATTGCAAAATTATAATGTTCAGTAAAAATATTAATGTTGCTATCCAGGACTACTCCCATTGATCTCTGTGACTAATGACTTCAGTCACCGTCACTTCTCAATACACCATTGGCTTCCTTGGAAGAATTTTCATCAAAAATGTCATTTTCATTGTTTGAATTATCTGTTGTTAGAGACGACGCCATTTTGATTTTTTGTTTCCATTATAAAAGATCCAAATTTTCTCTTAATAAATAATCAATTAAAATAGCGCTTCGTGTTATATTACCACCCAGACATTGTAGTTTATATTTCAATGTCTTCTTAATGCGAGACAAACTATCCTGACACCCATACGCTGTCTCTTTACCTTCTGACCATCCAACCATCTCCTTAATGCCATCCAGATATTATTTCGGTTGTATTCTGTCCTGAAATCAGATTTATTGATTTTGAAGGCTGCACATACACGTTTCAAGAACGTTGTACCTGTGTGTTAATAGGGAAGTGAGTGATTATTTTTTTATACTGCTTATCAACACATTGCAAATTATTTAAAAGTAGAAAATATTCTACTGTTCAGTAATATGGAAATACCTCCATAAGAATATCCTGACAGTGTTACGCAATTTCTCTGATTTGTGACCATCCAACAATTTCTTTGATGCCATCCAGATATTATATTGTATTTTGCGTTGAAATCAGGCTCACTATTTACATTATTCGGACTATTATACTCAT